CTTTGGCGTCCACGCGCACCATATGTTTCTATCAGTTTAGCAAAATTAACTTAACACCCAGTTTTCTTCATGATCTTTTAAATACACCTAATCTTATCAGCTGATGTATTCTTTTTTTCACTATCAGTTTTGAGAAATATCAGTTTTGTCTAAATTGTCCAAGTTGTCTGACTGTGCATTGTGCAGCCATGTGTGAGTTTCTATTAAGTGTGCTAAATATAAAATGCTGCCTAAAAGTTCAGGCGAGTCAAGTTATGACTAACGTACGCCTGCAAAACAACAACATTAAATTGCACTTGCAACACTGTTTAACACTGAAGTGATTCAGCTTGGGAGCTCTATAAAGCTGAAAGTTAGTAAGGTGTCAGGAATCTATCAGCTAATTACAAAAAAATCTGTTTTTTTTATTAAGGTAAAACCAAATATTGCTTTAATGACCAAGAGAAACAGCCCTGTGGCTTGTGGCTCTAGAGCACAGACTAAACATCTAATGATGTGTGTGCATTACTAAAGCTCCCACCTGATTGCTTGTCTTAACACTTTGTAAACAGTGTGATAATATCTTAGGCCTAATATCTGTCCCTCTGCATGCATTACTGGGATCCTGGACTGATTAAATACCCTAGCATTTTAACTGAAAACAGAAAGTAAAGAAAAGTAACTTTTGGTTGGAAATTTCCTGTTTGACAGCAAGAAACTGAGAGAATTGTGTTGTTCTCGGAGGCTATTTGTGTTTGACATTAGCAGGCACGCACAATGCATTAAGCCAGGAATGTAAGTAATGTGCGCTTAGACATACGGCCCTAACTACACAGCGTCGACAGCATTGTTTAATGCACAGCAATAACTCTGTTAGCCTGTTACTTCTCATTGCTTCTCTTTCTCTCCTCCTCTTTGTCACTCTGTGTGTACATTTCTTAAATGGTGCACTATAGGGTGAAAGAGAAAAGATGAGAGAAGACACTGGAAGTCTCTTCAGAGCTATTAGCTTTGTACCATTCTGTCTCCCCCCTAGCCCTGTTGAAGCAAGATACTAAAAATATTACAGGAACATTTGATATGATGCAGTGCTACTGGACAACTTTTATTCTTGCCTTAAAAATATGTTGCCGTGTTGTGATTCAGGAGGGGAGCTGAACTCTATCAGTGTAAATGCAGACTTGGCCTCCACAGAGGACCCGCACCCTGGGTGAATGACTGCAAGAGCTGCTATATGGCAGGATGAAGTGTGTTCATTTCCTTATTTATTGACTCACTTGCTTTTCTCTGAGTGTTTGAAATTAATAACAGCCAGCAGAAATCAGACAGAGGGATGAAAATCAGCACTTTCCCTGCAGTGAAGCCATTCATCAAGCTAACGAGGGGGAGAATAGAAGTGGAGAGGGGGGGAGGGAGAGTAGTGACGTTTGGAGAGGGAACAGAAAGCGGGAGGGAAGCAGGTGCAGTGTGAGGTGAAGGGAGGGAGGGAGGGAAAGTGACGCTGGGAACAGAGGGGAGGGGAAGGAAGCTAAGTTTGTTTGGGAGGAGAGTCATTTGGAGGATAGCGGGGCAGACAGAAGAGGAGGAGCTGTGTGCCACTCTATAAAGAGGAGTAGCGATAGAAAGAAGTGCAAGTTTGACATTGGAATATAAATAGAGAGGGAAGAGAGAGACAGAACGCAGGCAGGATTTCCAGAGATCAAGTCAAGAACCACCAAGTCATAACTTGAATCTGATGATGATGTGTTGATATATTTTAAAGTCCATGCCACTGCTAGTTGATAAAGAGTGAAGCCGCTGGCTTTATGGAGCTTTATAACAGCTCTTGCTCAGTGTCTGGGTTCTTCAGGCCTCTGCAAGAGGCATCAAGAACCTAGCAAAACAACACAGCAATGATATTTCCCATAACACTTTTAACAGTACAGAATAAGGAGTATACTAAACAGAACTCTTTTTCAGTGTCCCCAACTTTCATATATTATCTCTCTTCCTTTCACTGATGGGTGATGATGGGCCCGCCCTCACTTTAAAGCCTTCACCTTGTCATGGCTTTGGTCCCACGCTGCTCTGCCTCCCTACAGTCCACTAGAGACTCAACAGTATCTCACACCCAGAGTAGGGCTGACTAAGCACTTACCAGTGAGTCTCTCTTCTCAGAGTGAGAAAGGAGCGCCATGCTGAGAACTGCCACAGGAAAATAATTAGCAAAGTGGAGCTCTGCCCAAACACAGGCTAAATCTAGTAGCACTTCACAGTCAAATGAAACTATAAATCTCAATTCTTTTTCTTCTGTTTTTGCTTATTTGTTTGCCCCCCCCCAAACACACACACATATTTTTCTTAGGATACATAATTTTCACAATTACAAGTAAAATCTTTGTTTCATGATAACTTTTAATAGCATGAATTTAATCAGGGGTACTAAAACTTAGTTCAATCTCATACGGTCTTTTAATGAAAAGGCATCTATTGGAAGCTGCACATTGCTTTGCACTTGTTCTTCACGAGTCACTTCAAGCTGACAAATTTGTGATAGGTGCCTTGTGATGACGCAAACTGTGTCCATCTCACTGTACATGGATATATGTATTTTTAACTTTAAAGTTAGACCACAGTGTCTTTGGTCACCAAGGCTAAATATAGTCACCTCCTCCTGAACAGTCTCCAGTTTCTCACTCCTTTCCAAGAGGCAGGTGGAGCAGATAGAAGGGGGGGAAGGTGGGATAGCACCCAGTCTTGAATAAATCATCCCACAACTTTTGACCCATATGGAGGAGGTTGTTTTTATACTTCACACTGCCCCCCTTCTCTCCATGGCCTCTGCACCCCTCTGTCCCATTCATTTTCTCCCCCACATGACAGGTTAATCTGGATCGATTTCATCTGCCCTCAACGACTGAGACCAACATCCTGGCACCCAGAAATAGAGCACACTGTGACGGATTCGCCTCCTACTAACCATTACCGTTAACAAGCAACTCTAAGAAGGGGTGGGCAAGAGAAGATGTTTTGGGAAGTTTAAAAACAACATAATTTACTGCACAGAGGAAAAACACAGATGTGAAGAAACGAAAGACACTTGTTAAGATGGGAAATTGAACAGTGCGATGAGCTGTGGTATGTGGGTGATGCTGCTTCAGTAGGTTTCACCCAAACCACGTTGTCATACAATGGTCACATGACTGTATGCTGTATCTATATGTGAGCACAAACACTCACACACACACACACACACACAGACCTTTTCCCCCCCAATCTATATTTGCACTTTCTCACAGCCTCTTACACTGCATATACACACACCTGGCATTTTATCTTTGTCAGCATATTCTGGGTCCTTCAGCTCCCTACTGGGCTCTGAACTCCAGTGTCTCTTTGCATGGCAATCCCCTGAGCTGTGCCTACCTTTACAACACACAGGAAAAGCACACTGGCAGGTAGTTTTATACCAATGTTAACCTCTATTTACAGTATCTTCATACCAGCTCTGCATCTTGTGGCGTAAATACATTTGTGCCTGGGAAAATCTTTTTCTTCTAGGATTAGTTAGGTAGAGGCGCAGTGACATAGTGTCCTGGTGGCAGTCCAGGCTCGAGTCAGGACACTGTTTCCCCAGGCAAGGACACCAAGACCTGGCTCTCCGTCTCCATCACTCAGCTTGTCCTCCTGGAGCTACGTGGCCAGACTGCTCATCACCCCAACCCCCCCCACCCCATTCTTCATATGCATGGATTTGCATAAAACAAAGACATGGCTCTGCCTGGAATGTCTGCCATGGTTGAAACTGCTAAGAACGGGATCGACCAGACCACACCGCACGCAGCACCTCTAAGTTCAGCTGGCAGGTTGTCAGAGCACAACATCAGCATAGCGCATGGCAGGAGAACCGAGATTTACGAGGCCGCGTAAGATAGACACCCTCATGGTTTTCCACTTTAATTCGTTTAACATCCGTTCCCATGGCATTGTTTATATTCGACACCCCTTAGCAGTGAGCAGAGGGCACCTAATTCACAGTGATGACGTGGGAGGAGAATCAGAGCACTTAAAACACTTCATCTAAAGATGATTTGTCCTTGTCTTCCCTGATGGCTTTTGTCCTGCTTCCCCTCCTGAAGTTAAGTGGATCTGGCGAAAGGCCAGCTACTGATCCCGCTCCCCACTTAGAGACAATCAAGTAAATAACAGCAGATACAAATACATGTACACAAGCACACACGCACACACTTACAGTATATTCTTCTTTACGTTGGTGGAAAAAGTTAGAATGCAAGTGCTCTTTCATTCTTATGTGTCATGATGAAGCACATTGCAGCTGTTTGCTTTGGAACAATCAGTGAAACCATTACAGGAACATTTGGGTTTGCAATATACATTCTCCCAGGTTGCCCTTTGTCTCTGCAAATTGATATCAAGATTCAAATCTCATTTTTCACTCTTTGTCACTGGTGCAAAACACGAACATATAATTTGCATTTGAATGAGTGGCTCTAATCTGCCGGTTGTCCTGATCGGGGATGAAGGATGTTGCCCTAGACTCAAAACTTCATGTGTCGTGTGATTTTTCTTCTCCATGGATAAAATAAGGTATGATAATGGATACGATATCAAGGAACGTTATTGCATCAGGGAGATAGATGTAGAGAGATATTGCCAACATTAAGAAGGTGTGTGCTCTTTAGCATATACAATGCATTATGTATCCATTATAAAAAGCTTACAGACATGCATTATGTTTTAAAACATTCAGTAGCATATGTGGTGACTATTTTCTCCGTTTAATATGACTGCCTGATATTAATGAATAGTTAATATGGATTTAATTGTGTAGTGCTATAAATGAAAAATGCATACCACAAATAATACTTGTATAACACAGCTATGTTTGGTAGCATGTGCAAAGCTGTGGTATTTTTCTAAAGAAGGAATATTTTGTAAACTCAACAAATCTGATATTGCTCACTATTATTAAGCAGAAAATGTAAAAAAAAAAAAAGGCCAAAGTTATCAGACATTTACCTCAAGAATCCTCAAGGGCACGGAGGGATGGTGCTTGAAATCACAGATGGAGAAATTTTCTTGATGACCTGAAGAAGCAGAAAAGATTGGACAAACAGATCAGATAAATTAATATCAGCGTAAATATGCTTGGTGTCACCTTTTCACCCTCTTCCCTTCTGTCTGCATCAGACACGGATACACACAAGAAGGCCCACACAAACAATCACAAAGAAACAAGCAGACTCATTCTGAGCAAGATTCACTCTCACCTTGTCTCTTTGGTGAAATACACTACATGTATCATAGTAAATGTTTGATGCTGGGGGAATTGTAAAAATTTACATGCAAATAGATTCTACAGGCGGAACCCATGCATCAAAACACAAGAGACAAAACTAAAATATCTAAGCGTACGTACGGCGTGCCATCACACAGACAAGGCAAAATAGATTTTTTTTTTTTTTTTTTTGTAGAGGCATTTATTTCTGTTCATCTCATTCAGTTGAATAATGAATTGTTCTAACAGGGGAGGAATCGTGGCAAATAAAAAAGAGAGGGATAAAGTCTTGTTTCCTTGCTACCTTGTGACTGAAACTTTCAGAAGTACCCTGGCAAAACATACAAAAGTGGGCATGTTTCTTTAGGCGGGTCCAAATACAGTTCATATCCCCTATAAATGTTGCAGCACAAGTAAAAACATTAGCTCAGCTCTTAGCTCCCTTTGCAGATTCCAAGCCGGGCTGATTTAAAGTTCCTGGAAAATAACAGCGGTGGAAGTAATTTGCCTGTACGCTACTGTGAGGGAAATTTTAAATCACTGGATTTTCAAATAAATGCCACATAGAACTGGCACAAAAGCAGTGAGGCAGCTGTTGTGATGACAGATGTTAAGAAAAAAACAAAAAAACCCAAAAGGCTCCTAATGGTGCTAAACTGTGATCAGCAGCCAATCAGCTGACAAATCATATCACCTGTTAGATATAGCAGGATATTATCTTTTTCATGTCTTAGGTTTACTTTATTTCACCTGTCATTCAAGGTGAAAGTACTGAAAGTGTAAAAATACATATGCTGAGATATGACTTGGACTTACCTAAACAACAAAATTGCACTTACATCTATGCTCCATGTGTATCGCTCTGCATGCAGCTCCCTATTTCATACTGATCTGCTTTAAAAGTTACACCTGAGGAACCAAAGGAATGGACTTAAATGTGTAGAAAACAAAAACATTTGTGGAGCACAGAGGGATTTCACTCATGTAGCTAGATTTTTAATGGGAGAAATTTCACAAACATATGCCCGTTTGAAGGACTGTGTGTCTCACTTTTTCTTTTACTCCGTTACCTCTTGCTTTAGCGCTGCTGCATTTATTTAAGTCACAGGCTCTTGGTTTGGGTCCATTTACAGACATATAAAATTACTCCAGCAAATCCCTACCACCTCATTACCAACATAACCTGCAGCCAGTCTTTCAAGGACGACTCTCTAATGACACCACATGTATCAGCTTAATGTCTATTTGAAGCAAGCTTTCTGCCACAAAAGAAAGAAAGAAATGTACAGACATCATCGACAGCAAAGTGTAAAGTGTAAGTATTGATGCTTGGCATTTATTTATTCCCAGTGAACTGCACTATTGCACCATTCCTCTCTTATACGATTGTACTATTCCTCTCTTCTAAACTATGAATGTGAGAATAATGTTCCTTTTTTGTTTCTCTACTTAGACAGACCATTCACAGATGTGGCTGCCACCTGGTTGTGTTGAGACACATGACTGCCACTGCTGCTGCACATCCTCTCTCCAATCTTCTGTCGACAGTGGTTTTTATCCACAACCAAACTCATATAAAACATTTTCTAACTGTTGAAAATGAAAATAGTAAAAATGAAAAACAGAAGCAAATTCCATGCAAAGGTAGGACAAACAAATGTGAAAATGCAAAGAAAAAAAAAAGAAAGATCTTATTCCATTTATTTAGGATTTCTCATCACACTAAGACAGATTAGAAAAATATGTTTTCAAAAAACACAGTTGAAACTTGGCACTTTTGATATTTTGTGAGTCTTTATTAACCCCAGTTGTGTAAAATGTGACAGAAAGCCACAGCTTAACACACCCACTCTGAGTCAGTTGATATTTAAGACAGGAACAATGAATTTACCCCATGTACGACTGGCTGCTTTGTTTTGCAACACCCACAATGAAATGGTTGAATGAAGTGGGTGTGAGAACAAGATTAAATGTTCACCATGTGTGCCACAAATACTACCAGACTCAGAGTAAATAAATAAATAAATAAATGAATACATGAAAATAATCAGAATGAATGGCAGCGTGAAAATAAACCTGGCCAGCTTAAGCCAAGTGCCACTGCCCTTCACAGCATATTTAATAGACACTTTTCCTGCACCCTGTATTTAAACTCCTTTTGTATGTGTGCTATTATAGTATAGTATTATTATATAATCTTTTCACAGTCAAAAATATATTATTTGTTTTCTTGCGATTCAAAAAATGTAAAGACAGGAGTGAAATATAGGATGTTAATAATTAAAAAATATATATAGCAGGGAGTTGTGCTGAATTTACTGGATACTATCCTATGTCGGATGTGTGTGTACATCTCATTCATTGGGTTCTGGGCAGAGGAAATGAGCATGAGTTCCCCAGGGCAGGGATTACTCTAATGACTTTGAGAGCAGCCTTGTGCGCTGTAACTTTTGACCTCTGCTCATCCTCTTTGACGAAAAACACAACAAGAGAAATACACATGCATGCACACACACGGATTCATGCATCTACACCTACAAACACATACATGACATACCGTGCGAAACAGCAAGACAAAAAGCTTTGCTCCAATTGTTCCTCTGGCACTTTCTACAGCCTGTAAGAATTCAAACCCCCAACCGGCTCTTATTTTTGGTTGTGTCGACTGGCGTACTGGTACTTAACTGAACATTGTGCTGCATCTTATGCTGTCAACCTGCATAGCGCCAGCGTTCCACATGAGTGTCTCGCTGGAAGATCGATCATTTTATCACTTACATAACCGCTGCGTACGGGCACCACAGATATAAGAGGAAACATCTTTTTACAAATTAGATCTGTCTTCGCAAAAAATGCCATTTAGCTCGGGGACTCGACTGTTTGAGTCACACACAGAGAGAAGCACAAGTAACACTATGGTCTGAAACAAAAGAATGGAGCAAATCTATTCTTTTGTTTTCGTATTGTAAGTTGGTGAGTGTGTTTTCATGTTTAGTATGCGTGCGGTGACTGTGTTTTAGTGGATGGACATTAGAGGTCTAAATGATCTGTTCCAATGAGGAAACAGTCAAACTAAATAAGTTTAAGAGTCTTATAAAGAAGCCCCTAGCAAAAAACAAATGTTCATTTTTTACATGCCACTCAAAACACATCAAAAAACCCACTGCACTGAAAGCATGGTTTAAAGAGAGGCAGAAAAGAAGAGACTCTTAAGCAAAGAGGAAATTATTTCCTCTTTGAAATGGCAAATACAAAAACATGTCTTTTAAATGAGGGGAAAAGCAAATGATTATCCTCTCTAAAGTCATTTCATACATTGTTGTGGTTAATGTGACATATCAGACTATAACGGTACTACTGCTTTAGATGTAATTAGATAAATTGAGGAAGAAGGAGAACGGCTTGGCTGTAAATTGCATGGTGTGTACATGCTAAGACCCAACACTGGCACAGCTGCACAGAGCTACACTCACAATTTATCATCTTTACATCGCAGGAGCCACTGGCCCACACCACTATTAATCATCAGCAAAATCATTTAATTCAGCCCAAGCCTGACTATTGTCTCAGCTTCTCCCCTCACTCTGGGCAAATCAGCCACCACAGCAGCAGTGCACACCTCAGATCTTGGGTTAAAACTGTCTTTCTCCCTCTCCCTCTCTCTCCTTTTTGATGAGCTGTGTAGCACATCATCATTGGCAGATGGCGCAGAAGCTTGCTTTTTTGCAAATTTAACAAGTATGAAATTTATAATGGCAAAGACTACGAACGGTTGAGCACTTACTGCTTTAACACACTGACAGTGCGGTTCATTGTTATGAAAGGCGTTTTTTGTCTGTATCCGTTGGACACTGATAATCTGTGGCTAAACTGCAAAACAGAAGACAAATCCAGATTGAATCTGTCTTCAGAAACTGTAGCGTTTCCTCAAAGTGTATTTTGGCACGTTGGTCTTCCTGTTTCAACAAACAAATTGTTCCGAATGCCCACAAGCCTATTCCTTGTGAACTCAGCAAAGAACTTTTCCTCTTGTCTTTCTGGAAAGTGGCAAGTTTAGTTCGTGTCCAAGTGCAGTCCAAAAGTTATGTTAAAAAGAAAATCAGCGTATGATGTAAAAACACCAAATGCAATGCAAGATTGGGTACAGCAGAGCAGAGACTCTTCTGCTAACCACAGTGGCTGACATAAATTGGCACCTTCTCCAGCGCCCCCTCACATGCCTGACATGGCTGTGCCCTCCGTGCGCCCCGTCTCCCACAGCATGTTTGCTTCAGGCCAACGTCCAGACCCACTGACAAAAAGGAAAGAGCTGGATGAAACTGAGAAAGCCAAATGATGACATGCTAATGACTGTAAGTGCAGAGTGTCCGAGAAACACGGTAAGCGGGCACAACAGATAAGTAAGCAAAGAATGTGTAAAAAGGGTAAGTGAAGGGTACAAATATGGAGCATGCATCATGCACAGCCACAAGAAACTCACAGTGTTGTCATTATTACATACTGCCACTCAAGGAGACACACACACACACACATTCAGATTTACACCTAAGTCCAAATACACGCTTGCATACTCCCACATGAAGCAGCACTTAAGACAAGCACACACATATGCACAAATAGAAAGGCTCACACATGACCAGACTGTTCATAATAATGTTAACATGATTTATCAGACATAAAATCAAATTGGACTTCTGCAAATAAAAATGAGGATGAAGTTCATGAACTGAGATGCAAACACAATATTTCTAACACTTATTTTTTTGATTATAATGATAGAATCACGTTGGACTTTAAATGAAAAATGTCAGCAGGTAAGGTCTGTTTCTCCTTTTTAGGATCATCATCATAGGAAATAATAAATACATATATTTTTATTTGGTGTTAATTCATGGATTGTGAAGAAACATGCGTCTCTATCATTCAACAGACTGTGAGTTATTGTTATTATTATTACAGTTATTGCAACAATGGACTTGCATCTCTACATTTTACTTTTTTTTTTTACACTGCCAGCCTGAATTGCTTTCCTTAAATGTTCAATTCATTCCTGTTTCGGATTCTTCCAAAATGGTGTAAGAAGCTCTTACTAAATTAATTCTGGCAGAAACGCCTTAAAAAGAGGGTAACAAGACCCCTATAAGCAGTGTTAAAATGTGGGGCAGTAATATGGAGATGACATGTTTTCTAGTTTCATTTCTGTGTGTTTCACTCACAAACAACAAAGAGTCTCAAGACAACTCAAAAGAAAAGTGAGAAACTTATTGAAGACAATTACATACATTTATTGCATATCATTTAATTGTATGAAATGAGAAACGAGCACATATGAACATCACATATGGTTAGTGAATGAAATAATTTTGCACAGCAAAATATATATATATATATATATGTATATATATACTATATGTAAGATGAAAGATTAATTAACATATTTTCAAAATTTATTGGCGAATGGTACTCCCCCCTTTTATACATGCAGGGTGACACTCCCTGACGATCTAATAATGTCCGGACATTATAGATTAGAATAATTACTTATTGCTTTGCAAATGTTTACGTTTATTTAAGAGAAAACAACAGTATACCCTGAACTGATGCTAATATCTCCAAATGGTACGACTAAGTCGTAAACGAATGTCAGATCTATCTTCTTGGGAGATGGAAAGCTAATTTTCCACATGACATTTTTTTAGTGCATTTCTGTTCAGAATAAGTCAGTTCAATCAAGAAACACATTTTCAAAAGCACAGTAATTTACTTAGACTTGTGAGAATTGTCTTCTCCAAATATACTTTTTCTTAATATAGTTATTTAAAATATAATAATAAAATGTGTGTCGGACACCAGATCTCTCACACTTCGGTTTATAGCACATGCTGCAAAAGCGCTGTTTTATGCACTGCACAATACTGCTCACTGTATAAATTGGAGCCGAGCCAATTTCTCTTAATCAGTGTTAAAAATAGTTTTGGGCAGCAATCTTATTATTAATTATCCTAGAAATCTATATGACATAAGCTGTAGCACATGATATCTTTTGCATCATAGATTATAAAACTTTGTCTTTAAATTACGCTTTAAAAATTATTCAAATGATGACAAATGCACAATGGAATATATTTAAATAACAACATAGGCTTAGCAACAGACTAAACTTCCAGGAAATTGACTGGTAATTTCCTTCATACTGAAGTCTTTTCTTTTTCCCCTCGCACCAGGGTCCCCGCCGACAAACTTCCACCAGGAATGCCAGCGCATTCACTGCAGTCTTATGACAGCCGATGGTGGTGCACTTCAACACAGCTGAAATGCACCACTACAGGGGGTGGGAAGTCCTGTCACTTTTTTGTCTCTGTCCCAAAAAAGTGAGGAGGCCTAAATGAAGTATGAGTGCCATGCTGGAGTCATCCGACAAAAAAGGACATCTTCAAGCATAGAAAGAAAAACCATACATGTCCAGCATGCAGGGCAGTTCAATAACACATCTCTTTAAAACAATGAAGAGTTTGTAATGGATACAGTCTTTTGTTGCTCCACACAATAACAAGCAAACGCATGAGATGAGGTGGCGTCAAACGGCAGGCTTGCAATCCTCCAAGTTTGGCAGACAAAAAAAATTAAAAATAAAAAAAGGGGGAAGGAAGGAAAAAAGGGAAAAAACATACTGTCGATGGATGCACTTTTGATAAGAATCTGTACACTGAATCAAAACTAAAATGATGAAAAAGGGCCAAGTTGATGAACTTCAAAGGAGTATACTTAGTGCTTGCATGCACACTTGGTATACTGCGGCATAAAGTTGGATCAACTTTCAAATATCAAACACTGCAAATCTAATGAACAGAGATGAAAAAAAATCTTGACAGACAAACTATGTGTAATATACTGAGTATGATAGCAAAAAGTAGAAAGTTTTCTCAATACGCCTCTTCTAGATTAAAAAAAATGCGGATAACAAAGCCCTCCAAATCTACAGCAGTGGTAGAATGGAGGGAACTTGTTTTCAAAAAAAATAAATGTAATAAAAAAATCAAAAAGTTGATAAATTAGTTCTTGATCTAGGCATATAGTGGGATTTGCGTCAAGTAAATAATAAAAAAAAAGTTTCAGAATGAAAACTTTTTACGCGGGGTGAGTTATTCATCTGATATAGTTTTATTTCGCGATAATGTCGAAACTCACATGAAAAACTCCGGAGATGAAGGGTTGTTGTCACTGCTGGATCCATTTTCTCTGAAGCCGTTGCTGATGAGCTTCTCATACTTTTCTTTGTACGCGTCCCTCTCCCGGACCAGCCTGGAGATCTCTTGCTTTAGGTGCTCGACCTGCTGCAGGAGTTGTGTCTTCTCTCCCTCCAGGACGTGCCGCTGCTGAACTCGCTTGAACCGGCAGGACTGAGCGTAGCCTCTGTTCTTTAGGGTCCTCCTCTTCTGTTTCAATCTGATCACCTCTTCTTTGCTGACCCCCCGTAGCTGCCGGTTGAGCTCCCGCACTGACATGGTCACCAGCTGCTCGTCTGTGAACCGCTCCTCCAAGCGCATGTGTGGGTGATTTGTCCCAGAAGTGCCGTTGGACTGGACGCCCGGTGCCTGGTGGTGGCTGCTGCTGTGGTGGTGATGGTGGTGGTGGTGGTGTTGCGCTCCGTTCTGAGCGGCTGCCGCAGCAATTACTGCCGACACCACCGCCGCGGCGGACCCCATCTCTTCCCCGGCCATGGTGCTTCCTCCTCCGGCTGCACCAGCAAACTGCTGGCCCCTGGCATAGCCATCGAAAGACTGGAGCTGATGACTGCTGTTGATCAGCGCCTCGACCGCGTCTTCGGGGCTGAAGCCCAGCGCCTCTGGATTCAGCTGCTGTTGATAACCGGACATCCAGTAGAAATCCTCAATGTGTGTCTTCTGCTCACTCCCCGAGCCCGGACTGGGCGCCGAGAAGCTTGGGGAAGGGGGCACCGAGCTGCAAGGCGTGCTCATCGGGGTGGAAGACAAGGATCCCCCGGCGATAAGGCGACTGCACTGGCTGATGTTGCGATCGGGCTCCACCGGCTCCTTTTTCACTTCAAACTTCATCAGATCGAAGTCATTAACATATTCCATGGCCAGGGGACTGGTGGGCAGGTCGGAGTTGCTCATTGCCAGCTCTGATGCCATCCTCTTGCTGTTGACAGTCCTCCAAACGGGGTGAAGAGCAGCTGTCAAACTGGGTTGGTTGGGAAGAACGTGAGCCAGTTTGATTTTTACGCGTTTGTCTTGAAACTGAAAAAAAAATTAGGTTTTCGGCGTCCTTTTTGCAGCCGCGGACTTGCAGGCGTGTGTGAGTAGAGTTTCTTTGCAGAGTCTATTGCACTGACACACCAGTGCCGCGCGTACGAGTAGCGGAGTCCTTTTTCAGCATGTGAAATTCGGCGGTTTTGGATTTCAAACATTTAACACTTTACGGTGTCTTCATGAATACATTGCGCACGCGGAGAGGGAAACACACCGAAAGTCAGGGAGTAAAAGCTCACTTGCACGTTCTAAGCCGCTGTCTGGTGGGGCGATTTTTTAGTGGGATCACACAGCAGATGAGTTTAAGCATTGTAGCCGCTCTGACGTCAGGCTGGAAATGGGAAATTGACTCGGACGACGAGCCAATAGGGTCGCACACTCTAACAGCTAATTAACATATTAGTAGCCCAGAGAAACAAAACTTTTATCTACCGTCAATGGACACCAGCTGACTGTCAGTCGGAGCATAGATCCTTTTGTTCTTTTTATCGTAATTTCGATTTCATTTTATTTATTCATTTATTTATTTATTACTTTACTTTTTCGAAGTATGAGTTGTAAGTGGAACGAAACAGAGCATGCTCTAAATTAATTACAAAACGGAGTTGTAATGCTTGACATATAGAAAAAAGAGAGAGAAAGCAATCATAAAACAGACCTTATATAGTTCGCGTAACCCTGTAGCATAAACTGGTTATACATTTTAAGACATAAGTCTTAATCTTGCGAACATTACCTGAACAAAACCCGTCCACTTCCTAATGGCAATGTCTGTTATTTGTCTGAATGTACAGCACAATTAAAACCTAGAAACTATGTTTTATCAACTAAATATAAAACAAAAGTGGCATGTAAGAAGCTGCGCGGTAACTTGACAAAAAAAGGGGAAAAAAATATGAAAGGCGGATTGAAGAGGTTGTCATGTTTTCGCACACCATTGTAAAACTCAACACTGCCACCTTTTGGGCACGCTAGTGAAAGGGATTCCCCTCCCCATCCAGTCCACACAATTTTCGAAGAGTTGAAAGTTGAATGAAACATATACTGTTTGCAAAACACAAACACATGTACACGGTCCGAGTGTCGTTGTTTTCTTCACTTCAGTAGGAAAAAGACACGGTACCCCGACTGAATTTCAAACATCTTACATAACAAAGTCAATTTTGTGTTTTATGGAAGAAGTCATATCAGAGGAAGTGGATGCGAGTGAACCCGCTGCTCAGTGCAAACTGATATTCTGTGAAAGCCATAAAACTCACTTTATCTGAGTACATTGCTCTTTATCTCAGTTCAGAGGTCTCCTGCATTTAATTGACTTGTGTACAACACTAACATGAGTCAGTCTTGGTAATCCAGCTTCCACTGTAAGTCCTGTCTAGTTAGGTGGTTATAGTTTCTTTACCCCAGTGGACACAGCATGACTTTTAAAAATCAGAATAAATAGTAAGGTTTGTATACAGTTTGTATACAGTGTATTGTTGAAGTCTCCCATTAATGTATAGGCAAAATGCAATTAACTAATGACTAATAGCAGCTCACTTCGAAAAAAATAAAGCAGTTTGTTAGGGAAAATAGTGATGTAAGCCACACTGGCCCTGTCTTACTGGCCACAAGAGTGTTGATTTCTTTTGTGGCCTATTTTGACATGGTGCTGACAAATAACCATTTCTTTCCTGTGACAAAAGCCTATAATCATAGCCTGTTTCCCACTCTCTCGCCAAGCGTATGATCTCATCTTTGCAATGATGTATATTTTTAGATTTTTGTATGCGTCCTATTTAATGATAGTTCAACTCAGTCATGTGGAAGATGATTTTGACAATAAACCAGATATGTTACAACCACAGGGAGTTCAACACTTGGCTATGGCTGCCCAAAACTATAGTTCAGGTTATGTCTTTATGTTTTGTTGACATAACATTATGGGGGTTATTTGAGTATTCTGATTCTGATTTTCTAATCTTTAAATGGGAGAAATACTAGTTATATATTATTAATTTGGTAAAACAACAGACTTTCAAATATTTTATTACATGTTGAATAAATTAGAATAAATGCAGAATAAAAGTTTTTTTATAAGGCTGTGTTTTGTGTAAAAACATCATCATTACTGTTACTGAATGTTTTATTAAAGGGTAAGTGGATGTATCCATTTGTATGGTAATTGAATGCTACATATGGCTCAAATAAAATTCAAACAAAATCCTATTGTTTGTATTTCCATTCTGTTGCCTTGTCATCTGTTTGGGCTTACCTGTTCACAGGAAGGCACAGCAGCGGCCTGTTCCCTGGGGTGCGGCCACAGCGGACTGAGACTAATATACAAACGAAGGGAAAGCTCATTAGTCATGACAGAAGAAAGTGGCGAACCTAATTTAGCTGCTTTTGTGCCTTTGAAGTTATTGATGATGCAGAGCTGTGAGAGATCTACATGGGGAGAGATCAGTATATGCTGTGAAGACAACTTATCGAACCGGAAAGACAGAAGTTCATGGGATGAGATGGAACAGCAACGCGAGGTTGACTTATAAAGATATGAAACCATCCAGCCTCATTAAATAGGTCACCTCATTTTTTCGCTCAGGCTTTTCAGCAATTTGAAAAAAAAACCTGGAGGATTTTTGAAACCACAGCAGCCACATGAAACTGAAGAGTGCAGCTTGTTAGAATGCTGTAGTCATTAATGTTCAATGTGTTCATTGGCTTTCCAAACTTAAGAATTGTGAGACACGACTTAAGAAGGCTATTTGTGTATTCACTTTGTGTGTCACCTATTTCACTCATTTTATTTAATTAACACACATTTTCATGAGTTGCCACAAGGGATGAATCCACATATTTGATTTGGCATGGATTTTTGCCCTTCCTGGCATAACTCTCTCTGGGATTTGCGTCCCTTCCCACTCTTGAGCTGGGGATCTTTCACAGGTTAGGTGAATGTGTTAAACACTGAATTATGGATCCACTTACATGTTATCAATTCATTTGCTTTGACTATGTTAAATTTGCTAATCTAAAATGCATCATGTAAACCGTCAATTGTAATGCATTAAACACTGTAGTTGTTTACAGTGTACTGTTTAAAAACCAAACAAGAAACAAACAAGAAACAAAACAACATGATTTGTAGTTTCGGTCTGTAATGGTTTATGATCAATCTAGGGTGTTGATCATGTTCTAATTTGATTTTCTGACCTCAGATTAGATCTGATCAGCTAGGGGCCATGCTCCTGTGATATCTAAGTGTTAGAGGTGTCTTTTGTTGGCATTATGTTTTTAATCCTGCAGACCTTGCTGAAGGAAATGCCCGCAATGCACGGAAACAGGAATAATAGTGCAATTATACATCTTAAACTTGTTAGATTTTAGACAACAGACTGGTGACTTTAATATTTTTATGTTGGTTCAAAGGAAGAATATTACTTCAACATATCTAGAATATTAAAAATGGCTTTGATAAGATAAGGACTCAAATTTACTTCTCCATTACTTCTACACACATCTGTTGTGTGACTCCTTGTCTATGGTGACACTTATTTTTTACAAAGTATATAGTCAGTAGTTGTTAAACCTTAGAAGAGAATTTTAGCATTAACATGAATACTGTCTTTTAGGTTGGTCTTTTGCTGTTATCTGTCTGAACTTCTCTCATTCTGGTTAGCTCTAGAGGCAACTGAGCGGGAAGATCAGAGGTCAGTAAGTTGTCTTTTGTATCTGTTAGATTTTGTGTGTGGTGGGAAGCGGGTTCCTCAGTTTCAGGCAGGGCTAACCAGAGACTGTTACTGTATCCATGTTGACACTCAAATAACTGGAAGCCGATAGAGCCTGCAACCATACAGGCAATTTAGCTAAAAAAAAAAAGGTTTAGTATGGCTTTACCAAACAAGAAACCAAATAAAACATAGCATTCTGAGCATTACTTTTAACTGTAAAATGAAGAAGACAGAAAGGCAACCCATGCTTTACATCTTTACTAACGAGACGAGCTGGTATTGCACTGATGCAATGCAGTTTCATCAACAGTTTAGTGACAGCAACAAAGCCGGAATATCAATTTTCACCCTACCAACAGAATGTGGGCACAGCCATGTCACAATTACTTTAATCCATTAGTCAGAAGAAGGGTGAGGCAGAGAAGGGTGTGATAGAGGACAGAGAAGACAAAATAAGGTCAGGAGGAGAGCAGGGTTGTAGTCTGAGGTGGAGTTTGGTTAGCCACTGTGACACCGGTGGAAAATATTTCGTAGCCTACAGCTAGTGGGCTTTATGTAAGCAGAGAACTCTGGTGTCTGAACACAAGTTAGTATCAGTTCTTTGGCTTCATGGCAAAAAACCAGCAGTAAACCAGTGAATGTGTTACAGTGCTGTGAACAGCACAGTCACACATGTTTTCTAGACTGTCTTAGTGTCACACGACCCTGGGATGACACATGAGTTTTGAGGTTTTATCTCTCATATTCCTTTCACTCCCCCCCAGCTGAATATTTGTCAAGTTCAGTGACATGGTTGCTAATTAATACTATGTGCCCAGTAAATGTATGCTATTCTCTTCACCCCATGCTAAGTAATCGAAGAAGACTAGTCAATATTGTAGAAGAGTTGGCAGAGTGGTTTGCATATTAGCCATAATTACATTCACATGAACATAATGTATTGGTTTACTGTCATGTGTAAGGTTAATGTGTATCACAATTAAATGATATATTAACTGGTGGATAGCTTTCCCAACAATGTGCACTTTGTGGGAATAGGTTAATTGAAAAATCTAAATTGCCCATAGGTGTGAATGACAGTCTGTCTCTGTGTGCTAGCCCTGCAACAGACTGGCGACCTGTCCAGGGTGTACCCCGCCTCTTTCCCTATGACAGCTGGGATACACTGAAAAAAAGTCCATGTTGGATTTACTTAATTCAATAGTGGACATTGGTTGCACACAAATGTTTTGCTTTGGCAGAAACTTAAACAACTGAGTTAAATCAACACAACTTTTTCATATTCAGTAAACCTGTGCATTTTGTGTTCATAAAACGTGATTGAAACATGTTCAGATGAAGTAAGTTGAGCTCTTGGAATATTTTAATCCTTCACAATTTTGTCATTTTATTTTAACACTATTCAATAACTTTTATCCCAATACTACTTGGTCACTTAAATACTACATGCTGTCTTCATATTACATAATCTTCAACAAAGTCTAGATCCTGGTTACCATAAAAATTGAACGGGTCTTCAACAACTACCATCCTTCTATCTTTATCCTGGTTGCAGGAGGGCTGGGAAATAACCCTGAAGTGATAGGTTACAAGGCAGGGTACACCTTGGACAGCTGACTAGTCTATCACATAGAAACAAACAACCATTTACACTTACATTCACAGGTAATTTAGAATCATCAGTTAACCCTAACTCTAATAACTGCATGACTTTTAACTGCGGGAGGA